GGTTCCAAAGGAATCGCCTTCAGGAGACGGACCAACAATCTTTAGCTGGTTGTTTTTGTACTTTTTGATTTACGGAAATGTTTGTTTCATCATGAAGAAAAAATAAACGTTTGTACTTGAGCTTAACCGGTTTCTGTCCTGATTTTAATGTGTTTTAGTTTAGTTGATATTACTATTAGCTAGTTTACTGTTAGTGTTTTGCTAACATTATCCTTCAGATGTAACTAGCTAACAATGTAAGTGGACCTTGAATCAGGACTGTTGAGGTTCTCTGCACTTTTAGCTAAATGCTAACATCAACGTGAAACCCTCTAAAACAAAACAAACCAAACTGACAACAACAAATATTCTCAAGAATTCAACAATAACTTTATTTCTCATCGGCGTTCAGAAACAGACTTTCGCTCACTTGAAAACAGTCAGTAAAACCTTTTATTTTGAAACAGCAGACTGACTGACAGGTAAACACAGTGACACAAACATAAACAAACATATATAGTCAGACCTTAAAATACTCGTAACAAGACGTGTTTAACAGAATACAGCACATCATCGTCTGCATATAACAACACAGTAAACAGAAGCACTCTGCACATATCTTCAATACACAATATTAAAAATACTGACTAGTGCATTCGAAGGAAGAGAAGGCACAAAGGGTTCTCAGTGATTGTCATTTAAAAAATAAAACGCTTTCAATAACAAAAATAAAACACAAACAAACATTTAATAAAATATAAACAGTGGTACCAAACAGCCCGAGAGCTCTCCCAGTGAAACAATGTAAATACGTCAGTTTGGTTTAAAGACCTCTTTGTGTCAGATTTAAACAGCTGACTGTATTTATACTAAAGTGGTATTTATCAAAACAAAACAAAGACACGTACAAGTCAAACCTAGAATAAATGCAGTACACGGCCTCATTTTACTACAAATTAACTTAAAATGTACAAATATTTCGAAACACACGAAAGCCCATTTCAGCCAGCAGAATAAAGAATAAAATGTTAAAAGTTACTCAAAGTACAGTATAAGATCCTTTAATTTAGTATTTTTTAATTAATTAAATTAACTGAATTTCAGGAGAAATATTGAACTTTTTTCACAACTATAGTAATAAAGTTTACTAGTTAAGATTTTTCATATGATCACTTATGAAATTCTAAAGCATTTGTTTCCTGATAAAATCTCTTTGTTATCAAGATAATCGATAATTGAGTCCTGACAACTTATTTACTCAAAAACCTCGAACCATCAAATGCCTGAAAAATGGTTTGTTGACGTTAGCGAACTAGCTAACCACTGATGTAAATTACATAGCCAGTTAGCTAGCGTTTAACATTAGCTACCAGATGTGATTTGCTTGTTAACGATTAAAGTAGATCAGCAGGATAGTTAGCTAGTTTCATACTAGCTAACTATCCTGCTGACTAGCAACAAAACAACAAACACATCGAACCATCAAAAGTTTGGTTTTTCCTTTTTTTTCTGCATGAACATTTTTTTATTTTATTTTATTTATAATTAATCGACTAATCGCTGCAGCTTCAATTTAATTAAAATTTACTTTACTTGGCAGAAATGGACTTTCATATTCAGACAAAAAGAAACAGAAACATAACATTAGACTGGATATATAATATTTTTAGCAGTACAATATATTACATAAAAAACATCTGGTAGCTCAGTGGGTTTTGAGCAAGGCACTAACACTGTCTTGGGGTTCAGTTCCCCGTGAGACACTATTAATTAAAACAGTTGATGTTGAGTCTTAAAATATAATTTTTTTTTACTTAAAACGACAAAAAATATTGTATCTGTTTATATTTAAAGTGTTTTCTGTTGGTTTGAGGGGCGGACGGCAGTTTAAAGATATTTTATAACCATTAAACGGACGGTAGATTAAATAATATACATTTTTAATTTTCTTTACAGCCAAAAAGTAAAAATGAACAGAAATCGCTTCTTCTTCTGTTGTCGGTAAACAAGATACAATATCCGACTGTAAATCCTCCCAAAATATTTGAATCTTTTCCCATGAAAAGAAGACTCTTGCCGTTAATGATCATTTTCACAATTAATGAATCTGATCATTATTTTCTAGATTATGAAACTGAAAAATGCCTAAAGCCCAAACATTTCAAACACACAGATATTTAATTAACTCGAAGGTTAAGTCAACAAAAAGCAGCAAATGATCATATTCAAGAAGCTGAAGCCATCAAATATTTTGAATTTTTGCTTCATAGTTGCAGATAAATTGCAGCTTTATTGGCTTTTAAAGCTTTTAATTTCCATTTTTGGAAGAAAATTACCTGAAGGTTCATCTTTTGGTGTTTTACATTTACACCCGTCAGAAGATCTGGTGTCGGTTTTTAGTGGATACGAACATTTCCACCAAAATACAGAGTCCCAAAAGTAAATAATCACATGAATAAGTATATAAATATAAATATATATAATCTTGGAATTATGAAGCTTCATTGGGAAAAATAACATCATGAAATAAACTTTGGACTTTGGACTTTACAGAAATTAACATTTTCAACCTGTATTGAATAATTAATAATTTCTTGTCTTATATATTTTTTCTGTATTTATTCCATAAATCTAATTCAGTGCTTAAGTGTGAGCTATAAAAAACTTCTTTCATGGAGCAAATTCATTAAAATATCTCTTTAAAATAATATAAACATGTACAGATTTACAAATGTATTTCGTGATTTATATATAAACAGTTATTGTTGTTTATAAATGTAAAACATTTCACACAAATACTTAGAAATCTACAACAAGAGACAGAAGTTCTCTTTTATAAATAAATCCTGAAATACATTTGGTGCGTTAATCTGACTCTATACTATATTATAATATTATAATAGAAAAATAACGTGTCGATCTAAAAATGAACGGATCGTTATTGGTTATCGGTTATCGGACCTGAGTGTGACAGTGCGACAGTCTTTAGTACAGAACCAGTTTGTAACAACCTGAATCCGGCTCCGTGGACGGCGAGCTCTCTCAGCACTGCGTCTCCTTGGTGTCGATTTGATGTTGCCGCTGGAGTCTGAACATTATCGCCTTCCCGCTGCGACCCGTCACACTGTTCTCCGTTAGGTCCTCGAAGGAGCGCTGAGTCGCCCCCGCCGGCCGCCCGAACGCCTCCTCCAGGGCCTCCTCGTCCAGGTGCGAGTCCAAGCTGGGGTCCTCCTGGATGGTGGCCATGCGGGGGCTGTCCAGGAGGGGGTGCCCGGGGGTCGGGACGGGGACCGGGTCGGGGCCCGGGGCGGGGCCCGGGGCGGAACTGGAGACCGGAGGGGTGCTGGTCTGCTGGGGGCCGGACGGCTGGAAACGCAGTGCGGCGGCGTTGGTGGTGGAGGGGAAGGTTGGAGGTTTAAAGATCCGAACAGAGGCAGACTCAAGGCTGCTCAGGAGCTCGGCATTCTGGGAAAATAAACACAGTCAGTATGAGCCACAATTAAAGGAGCAGACAGCTGTTTTTATTGTGTTTTATCTTAATTCAACTGTTTTTTATTGTTTTCATTTGTAAAAAGAACCTGCAGAGACTTAAAACCTGCTTTATGTTTAAGGTTATATAAGAGGTTTAAAACAGGGAATCTCAACTTAACTTGATCTGATTCAGGATAAAACATCACCAGCTGGTCCTTTAACTCCAGATTGTGTCCACACAGTATAAATATCTATAAATATAAATATACTCACACTGGGGAAGAACAGGGACTTGGTGGTTTGTTCATACTGTTGATCCAGCTTCTTGTCCTGAAAGCACAAACAGATGAAGAAAACTTTTAAAAGGTAAAATTACAGCTAAAGATTCATCAAAAGGCCCCGAAATCGCCGATATTCTGCTTAAAATGTTCCAGTAATGTAAAGATCAGCGTTCAGACACAAATAATAATATAAAGTAGAGACCCACCACACAGTGGACCAGGATGCTGAAGGGGACCCAGAACAGCAGCGAGAACGCCACCACCGAACCAACGATGTTGTCGGCCAGAAACTTCCCAAACGTGTTGATGTCCAGTTTATCGATGAAGTCCCACAGACGCTCCACCACGTCCTGGACCTGCTTCATGCACTTCCCCTGCAGGAGCATCAGGACGTTTACCGTTAAAGCTTTTAGGTTTCAGACAGCGGGACAGAGTCAGCGTGAGTGAGACGTACCGCTCCGTCGCAGAATCCCACGGTGCACGGTTTGCCTTTACGCAGGAACAGGAAGTTCCCCGTGTCATCCTGGTAGGGGGCGCAGACGCCGCCGTTACCACGGCAACAGACCTTACAGGACGAGTTGGTTTCTGCAACGTAAGAGTGTGTAAGTGTGTGTAAGTGTGTAAGAGTGTGTGTGTGTGTGTGTGTGTGTGTGTGTGTGTGTGAGAGTGTGTAAGTGTGTGTAAGAGTGTGTAAGAGTGTGTGTGTGTGTG